TAATTTATTAATTAATTTTAAAGCATTTCTTTTTCTCTGCTCACTAAACTGAAAATAGCTATATTATTGCAACTTCAGTGCAAGGGGGAAAGAATGCTTTGGGATCAGAACTTAAAACATGACTTCTGATAATGTATCACAGAACCCAGTGTTCACAGCATATCACCCCCTGCCCATTTTTGCTGATGCTGTGACTTGAACTAAAGATGGTATCTGCTTTGCAATAAAGCATCTGTTCTACCCCCAAAACCCAGAAACATATAAAATTATATCAATACAGCACTCTTATTCTCAATCTGTCTCTCTCATAGTGCCTACAGAGTGCTGAACACATCCTATCATGAGAAAAAGAAGTATCTGCAAACTCTTTTGTAATTTCTAAAGGGCTATCTTAAACTGAAAGCATGCTGATGCTTAGTGTCAAGCTTTAAGTATGAGTGTCTGAAATATCCACATGGCAGTTATTCAGAGCACACTGGTTTCCCTAAGGCTGGTGCCCTGTCATGGGCCATATTTCTGTCTGGAAGAGAAGCAGCTGTTCTTTTCATCTGGTTTACCAGTATTCCCTACAGGGAGACTGAGGAGTACAGGCACTGGAATGATTTCTGAGTTTGTACATGGAGATGGACTTCTACGCTAAGATGAACTACATGCTCTACCATCAGTGAGCTGGATGTGACCCTTCAGGTTAATGAATTCTGTATCTAACCTGGGCCTACAGGACCCAGGAGGACAGGGGAAGTGGGGCTGGGAGAGGGCATCTCCCTTCAATCAATTGTCCAGATGTAGCCAAATACCTCATTATAGTATTTGGTAATCTATATGTACAAAAGATTTATATACAATGTACCCTACAAAAATGGAAGGAAGGGGTTTAACTGTGCAATAAAGATGAAAGAGCTTCTACTTATATACTTTAGGCAGATAGAGAAACTTGGTGCTGAAACAGTTAAATGATCTCTAAGCTTCGAATACTTAATTCCTAAGACTCATTTTCTATCTATGCTATGAAATGTGGTGATTGGTGACATAAGCCACAGACTCCAGGGAATAATTTCACACTTAACCTGGGTCTGTGGTAGTAACTCTAAAAAGGGCAAGGGAAGTGGGGCTAGGGAGAGTTCTCCCTTCCATCAGTTGTCCGGATGTAGCCAAATACCTAGTAAGATATGAGATATTTGGTGAGACACACACACACACATACACACACACTCACGAGACATTTATTTACATGGTGCCATATAATGATGAAAGGAAGAGACTTGATCATGCTGATGAGGGCATGACAACTTCCATTATATACTTTAAGCAGATGGGAGATATAGTGTTGGACTACTTACATCATTTCTAGACTTCCAAAATTTATCGCCTAAAAGTCATCTTCCACACATGATGCAATAGGTATTGATGATATGAGTTCCTACGTTCAGGTGAGTGACTTTACATTTAACCTGGGCCTGCACAACTCTAAAAGGGAAAGAGATGTGAGCCTGGCAAGGGGGTCTCCCTTCAATAAATTGTCCAGATGTTGCCAACGATCTTGATGTGATATTTGGTTAAACATATAAATATAAAGCTATTTTGTTACATTATGTACCATCATGATGAATGGTAAGGGATTAAAACATATTTATGATCAGAAAGGGGAGCTCTGGTGGTGTAGTGCCTAAGGCATTTGACTGCTAACCAGAAGGCTAGTGGTTCAAACCCACCAGCCACTCCTTGGAAGGAAGGCTGGGCAGTCTACTTCCGTAGTGATACCGCTTCGGAAACCCAAAAAGGGGTCGCCATGAGTCGGATCCGACTCAAAGGCAATGAGTTAAAAAAAAAAGAGCTTCCATGTACATACTTTGGGCAGATAGGGAGATGCAGTCCTAGGTTAAATAAATGATTTAAAGGATCCTCGAAATTTAAGTTTATTTTCTAATAGTTATCTTCAATATGTGCATACTCATGGAAACGTCACTTTTAAAATATGGGTAATGATCATATAAACTGATTAGTAATAAATGTCTGATTTTATAGATTCAATTACTTATGGCCCAACTATTTTACAAGCTAAAAACAGTGCTACATTTTGATAGCCCTAATAGGTTGCTTTAACACTATCAACAACTATCTAGCAGAAACAGTCATGACTGAAATTCTTACTATTTTTTTTCTTGTTTTCTGCCAGGATTTGTTAGCAACAGCTTTGACTCCAGTCCAGAGTACTATGGAGCTACAAAGAACACTGTGGGGGGTCCACAAATTCTTCAGGGTGAAGGCAAGAGAGAGAGTAAGTGAGAAAAGGAAAAAGATTTACTTGAGGGCGGTACCAGGGACTCAACACTTAGGCCTACAGCAAGTCTAAAGGGCAAGAGAAAAGAATCCCAAGAGAAATGTTCTTCTATTTGGTAACATGGTAACCAAAATGTATACCAAAAACAAAAACTATAGATTACACCCAATGGTGTGCTGATGAACCTTTAATAACCATCAATCTAAAAAAAAAGAAACAAAAGGCAAACACATTGCCATCAAGTCAGTTCTGGCTCATGGCAATCCCACGTGTTACAGAGTAGAACTGCTTCATAGGGTTTTCTTGGCTGTAATCTTTATGGAAGTAGTTTTCCAGACCTTTCTTCCACAGAACTGCTGGATAGGTTCAAACCACCAACCTTCAGGTTAGCAGCTGATCGCAAACCATTTGTACCACCCAGCTGGGTAGGGGAAAAATGTCTCAGTGTGTAACATTTGTTAATTTCTGTGGTGTAAATGTTCCCACCATGGCCAATTTCAACCTATCAGCAAGAAGATACTGAACATGGAGTTTGGAAGAGATGGAGAGGACAAAATTATGTAGTATTTCCATCATACAGACCCAGTAGATAAAAATAACCTCAACAGTAAAATGTAATATTTTTGAGTACTTGTTACTTTGTTTCTAATATCATTTATTTAATTGTAAGTTTATATGGTTTAATTTTTAATAATGGTTATTTTCAACAACCAGGTTCCAAATTGTTTGAAAATTAAACACTTGACTAACCTGTATGAGTTGGTGCCAACACACCACACCTAAATGAGAGAGGGAAGGGAAAATCAGGCTGAAGACCATTCAGTAATACTTACTATGTTTTTTTTAGATAGAGAGGGAGATGTATACCCACTGCCATCAACTTGATTTTGGGAGTTGGAGCAGTGAGCTAATTCAAGGAATTTAGGCTTCACAAAATGTCAGCATGTTCTGCTCATTGTTCCCTCAAAAAAAAAAAGTAAAAATCTTGAGAAAATACAAAAACTCACTACCATCAAGTCGATTTTGACTCACAGTGAGCCTTTAGGACAGAGTAGAACTGCTCCATAGGGTTTCCAAGGCTGTAAATCTTTATAGAAGCAGACCACCACAGCTTTCTCCCATGGAGTAGCTGATGGGCTTGAACCACTGACCTTTTGGTTAGCAGTTGAATGCTTTAACCACTGCACCACCAAAAATAACCTCAACAGTAAAATGTACTATTTTTGAGTACTTGTTACTTTTGTTTCTAATATCATTTATTTAATTGTAAGTTGATATGATTTAATTTTTAATAATGGTATGTTCAACAACCAGCTTCCAAATTGCTTGAAAATCAAACACTTGACAAACCTGTATGAGTTTTTCCTTATGCCAATTTTTCCTTAAGAAAATGAGATAATTTCAAAAGGTCTTAGAGACACAGATGTGGGTCTTACAATAGAGGTAAATACTCAGTTTTATAAAGGCTATCCCAAACAGAAGGTGCCCTGGTGGCACAATGGTTAAGTGCTCACCTTTTAACTGAAAGGTCAGCATTTTGAACCCACCAGCCTTTCCACAGGAGAAAGATGTGGCAGTCTGGTCCTGTAAAGATTATGGCCTTGGAAACCCTATGGGACAGTTTTACTCTGTCCTATAAAGTCACTATGAGTCTGAATCGATTCAATGGCAGTGAATTTGGTGTTTGGGTTATCCCAAACAGCATCTATGTACTTTTTAAGTGAAATGAAATAATATATTCATTATCTTCCCCATTAACCTCTTTTACTGCTACCAAGCAACCCAGGAATACTCAGTTACTAAACCAGTTCTGGACTGGACCCACCTTGTGCCTTGGTCAGCAATCTCTTTAGTTCAAGGGGTCACCAGCATGAGGGATGTCATCTTTACAAAGTTCATAATTACAGGAAAAAGAAATGGGCAGGAAGGAAAGAAGGAGAGACAGGTACCCAAGGCAGTGTCAGCATGCTACCAATTACAGCCTTGGGCACTGACAGTTATCAAAGACAGAAGAGTGCAAGTCATGTATTTCCTTACTGGTGTTACACTGCTAGATTAAAAGATAAATACTGAAATGTAATCATCTTAGTTGTACTTTCCCACCTTGTCCTCGAGATGACAAATATCTGAGTAAGTGATTTGCCAATATCTGAATGGATCATGCTATAAGGACAAAACATCTGTAAAATTAATCTGAATGGTCACATCTTGCTACACTACAGATAAAGCAACAAATGCTTATAAAATTTTCCAAAATAGTGCAATTACGTGTGTTCAGAAAACCTTGATGAAGGTGCAATTATTATTGTTTTATTTAAGAACGTACTTGTTTCTAAACTTTAAATATATTTCTATCATGTCTAGAAAACGTTAAAACAGCATTGTAAATAGTCATCCATTAGAGTCATATTAAAGATCCAATTTATGGTGAGTAGTCAGTAAAGGTAAGTGTGTTAATTCATTTTGCTACCTGTGAGTCTGGCTTGAAGCAACATTGGTGGGTTAATACAACTTGTACACGTCTTTGTTAATGCTGTGTTAAAGTATCATAATGTTATTTTGCTGTTATGAAGATGACATCACTGATCTTCAATTAGTGGGGCATGTGCATTTAGCAACTTTTCTGGAACGAAGGGAGAATTTGTGCTACGTTGCTCACATTTTCTCACCCAGTGAAAGATTGGCAATACTAACTTCATACATGGTCAGCAGAACACTTCTGATACATCTAGCCTAACTCAAAGCTATGCATGTAAACAGAGATAGGCTTCTATCATAATTACAGATAAAAACATATTTTATATACTAAATTCTTTTCAGTGATTAAAAAAAAAGTTCATGTAATATAGCAAGACAACCTGATGTGAAAATGGTTAAAACATTTTCGATCACTGTCGCTCACTAAGCGCTGCATGAGCCCACTTGTACAAGATGCCAGAGGTGCCCACGATCAAATAAAACAATTTTATATATTAAAAATCCAAGATAAATAAGAAGTGCTAAAAAAGAAAAACAATTAAATTATTAGCTGTGTGATTAACGGAAATGAACAACCTTTGATAAAATGGTCCCGATGGGGAAGGAGAAGAGTTTTTGTTTGTTTCTAAACGGCCACGCAACAGCTGCCCTGGTGAAACTTCACCTCTTCTGGTGGAGTTTACCTCCGGTCTCCTTCAACTCGCTTCTTACGAACTAGACAAGAGAGAAATAAAGTTTGTAAAAAAAAAAATAATAATAATTAAAAGGATATTCATTTGATTACATTAATCACATAAGATGGCAATCAAACACATTTGAGGATACAGATACCTTAAATTTCAATATTCAACTACCCAGGACAATAAATAGAAATGATAAAATAATCCAGTGTCTGGAAGGATTTATAGTTTTTTGAATTTACATGCCAACAAAGGTATAGTTGGGAATTTGTGCTAGAACTTCCCAATTTTCCTAGAGTACGAGGTCCAGAATAAAACCATTAGGGTGACTACAATTTCAGTTGTTTTCCTGGTAATTTATACACAGCAGATCTTTCTCTCATCTTCCTTGCAATTTAATTACCAAGGGATTTAACTCCATATAATC